CTGTGGATTTTTCAGCAGTAAATAGCAAGGGTGACAGATGGCCCACCCAAAACCCGAGCAAAAATGTGACAGAGCCTTTTATAATTGTCCTGAGACGGGAATACAGTTAGGTGGGTGCAAAAGGAAAGTCAGAGAGTTAGTCTATCGGGAAGCTCTATATAACACTATCTGCTCAGATTTTGCACCTTTGGCTTAGCTGTATTTATTCAACTGTTTAAGTCACTTTTCTGGCCTTCTTAACAGGAGCTGCCAGGAGTAATTGCACTTACATCAGAACTTAAAATATAAGGCTTGGTCCACACTTAAGAGCTCATCTAAACTACCAAGCCTTTTAAATCCAGAGAAAGTCTAACAGTGTCTAAATTTTAGAGAGGCCTATTCCATACTAGTTCCAAGGAATACAAAGCTTTCTTTTTGTGCTGGAGACATCCAGCTGTGTCCAGCTGGAGAAATGCAGTGATTTAGCTAAATTCAGCTGTATTAATTACATAACCATATTCAGCTAAATAGCTGAAACCCACAAGCCATCAGTCCTGAGGGACTGCTATGCTGTCAAGTCTTCACCTAGCTGCCCTTTGCCATGAAATATCCTGCCAATCTTTTTTCATTATTATTATTAAGTGCGCATTATCACCATATCATATAAACCCCCACAATAACACCTGAGTTATGAGATGGCAAACAACTTAATACATCATTATATATAGTTAAAATCTTTTAATATAAATAACAGAAAACAAAGAGATGCAATTTGTTTACTGTATAGAAGACAATATGATGCAAACAAATATTACCTAAATAGTACATTACAAACAGGTGCAAACATTGTGGTGGCTGAGAAAGCTCTTTGCAAAAGCACCTGCCCCCAGCTCATGTTAAATGACTAAATTCCTGAAGGTGTCTTGGTGGGGGAGTGAGTTTATAAGCATCCTCACAGCAGCAATGATGGACTCTACTCAAGGCTAATTTTATCTTTTTCCTGATGGGCAGGGAGGGCAACAGAGAAAATAGCATTCTTAAATATACTCACCATCCATTTCTGATACCACGACAGACAGAAAAGCCTTTCATCAGGGGTAATTTTATATTTTAAAGATCCCATCACTAGCTGACCTCCTCAGTACAATCATTTTCCTCATGCACAGTATCTCTTTATTCAAATGCTATACATACATATCAGTTTGGTAACGTTACTTGGTCCTAAGTAAGTTGCTTAGAAGCACGTTTCATGTATAGACAAAACTACCAGCACCAGTTACTTACTTGCAGCCTTATTTCTTCTGCTCTCCCCTGCTCCCGACCATTTTTTGGCAATAGATTTACTGTAACAGCGAAATTAGCAGACTGAGATTGCTTTCATCTCACATCCCATGCATGCACAACTAAAGAGCACCGGACTGCATCCACTCTAAAGAATTTCCTCCCTACTACAAACTGTTTTGTTAGGCAAGGTCTGCTTCAAATTTCTCTCTCTCTCATAGACTGCATGTGGCTTGAGCCAGCAGTCAGCAGTTGCATATCTAAGGCATGGAGTCACAGGACAGAAGAAAAACTGGCACACATGCACAATAACCATCTCAAAAGGTACATGGGGTTTCTCCGCTTTCTGCTGAAATTTTTAAGTAGGAAAAAAGATAGCAGGTAAATCTAGGATAGTTAAGTGCCAAAGTGAAACTTACTTCTGTGTGATCTTAGTGACTAAACAACTTCTGGTACATTGACAAGACTGACCCAAAAGTGAACAATAATATTCAGAACTCCCTTGAATGCTACTCTTTTCTTTGTAGAGAAATGTCAAAAGTATTGGAGGAGGAAAACTAAAATCCTTGGACTGTAATAATGAGTTGCACTTTTATATATGTTATGAATTGTCTCTCTGTTGTCATTTTTAGTTGAAATGAAAATGTAATTTGTTTAATGTGTATCTGTGTGAGCTTCATTGTCACACATATATACCACAGACTAAGGCCCCTCTAGCTTTTCTGAATATTTTAATGAGGCCGTAAAAGAAAAGAGAAATGCAAGCAAATTAAACTGCTAACCAGTGAAAAAGCCACTCAACTACTGCACAGAACTCAGTGACATAGACTTGAATGACTCTTCAGCAAGTATTTAAAACAAATGAGCAACTGAGGAAGTGTGTTCCCTACTACAGCAGCTGGTATGAATTTTCCCTCTAACAATCTTTTCTGATATTCTGCTGTTGGACATCTGTACACAATACACCATCTTCAGCACTGTCATACAGACATTTGACTTCCAGTATTTTCACTATAGTGGTTTTTTTAATATATATTATTCTTTCTATATAAACGTGTAAGCATAAAAAGGAATCTACTGTAAAACCAACATATTTCTCAGTGAAATACTACGGCATTAATTTGCACAGCTTAAATTCAATTGCTCAGTTCATAATTTCACTTCAGTCAGTAGATTGTTATATTGATTGTTATATATGCTATATATATATATATATATATAGTATTAAAATGGAAAAAATAAAAAAGGGAGCATGACTTGTTAATCTCACATTCAACAGGGCATATTGCATAGATGAAATAGATGGCAAATACAACAAATTCACATAAAAGTGAGGGAAGAAGTGAATAGAAACTATTGATCTTCTCATAATCCAAATACTGGATAGATGATGCTAATTTACAATGAAATCCCATAGTGGAATACTAGAATTCTGTAATTAGTGTGTACAGTATGCAATAAAAGCATTAAACTTACCCAGCTAAGCATGTTATTGTTAAATAAACCTGAACCCTTAAAACATAATATGTGCTAATAGATCAGCTGACTTGCCATACAGTTTGAGGGTGAAAAGGTTTTCATAAGAAATTACGACTACATGAATCTGTGGTTTTTCTTCTGAAAATTGAGTCCCACCTTGGAGAAAAGAGGAGAAGGAAATGATCATAGATCTATGAACTATCAAACAGAGTCTGGGTAATTGATTTCATGCCAGCTAGGATTCCCCAGTACCTAGAGCTGTGCAATGTTCTTTATTTCTCTTCTTAAACTGCAGTTTTAAGTAGTTTATCATTTCATTCACATCAAGGAAAGAGCAATTCTATTTCTAAAAAAAAAATCAATGGATTCATGCTGTTTCTCTACTAGTAAGTTGCGAGGTATTCCTCTCACATTTATATTCTCACATAAATACATGCAGTATTTGATAGACTACAGATGCAGCATACCCTTTCACAGCTGGTGACGTTGCTTACTTCTGACTTCAAATCACATTCAAGATTGTGACCAAAAGGTTATGTACGTTATGCTCACCTACCTGCTAGGATAAACAATTTCTCTTTTGCTCTTTATATTATGGTTTCCATAAATAAACTTCCACTTATCATGAAATAAAGATATTTGACAAATTGTATCTTTCCACAAAATCTTTAGTGAAAAAAGAAAAACCTTCCACTCTTCCCTCTGACTCTCAGACACACCCCTTATATGTGTTTACCTTTTTTAATTCTTTGGATGGGCATGACAAAATGACAGACACCAGGAAAAGTTTTTCCTTTAATTAGGAAGATTTTTCTCTAACTATCCAAATTATTATAAAAAGATAGAAATGTTCTTGCAGTACGTACCTCCTCAATCAGGCTAGTACGTCCTAGCTGGTAACAGAAGTAACACGTGCATAGTTATCAACCATTCATCAATAGTAATATAAATTAGGTATGAAGAGAAACTGATTTATGAAATTCATCAGCTGAATTTTAAATAATAATAATTTATGCACGTCTTAGTAAAATCTAAGTGATTTCAATGTTAAAATATTTTTATTCAAAATGTAAATGAATATAAAATGTATATGGAGAGATTAAAGAGAATCCTGTATTACAGCTGGAATGAAAAATGCAAAAACCTTATACTTTAATAAGTATTTCTACCTGGAGAGAAATAAAAATGTCTAATATTTATATTTTATTCTTTAAGAACCTAAACAAGTTCTCTTAATTTCCAGCAGCAACACACCTACTTCACATTGTTCCAGCTGACAATTGGTATTCACCAGCTTTCATCGAGGGCAAGGCTGGATTGCTGTGTTAGGACATACAGGAGGAGTTCTGACTGATCTGCTGTGTGCTCTCTTTTAAGCTTAGAGGAATTGTTGACTCCCAATGCTGTCCATCAACATTAATGTTCTACGTTAGTAAAGCAAAAGGATAAACTAACATCTACATTTGGCAACTTTTTTTTTTTTTTTTTAAAGTATGAGATGAGGAAAACTTCATTTTGCCACTTTTTGTTCTCTTCCACATTAAAGCTACTTTTAAAACTCAGATGGAGGTGTTCAACACTGGCAAAATTTAAAGTAATATGCTCACATTGTTCCCCACATGTTTAGATGTTCATCTAAATAAGCAGACATTGCTGATGTCAGAAAAGACGGATTTTTGCTGTTAGAATTAGCACTTTTTAGGAAGCGAACTTTTCCTAAGACACTTCGTTATTAATGTCATTTTAAGTGCTTAAAATGCTTTGAATCACATTAGGATATTTCATTAAAAACATCTCCAAAATCTTTCAAAACTAATCTTCAGATGCATCTTTTTAGACCCTAAAAACACATTTTCCTCAGAAGGTTGAAAGAGCTGACTAGTCACACTTAGCAGGAAACACCATCAACTTGCTGATCACACAGGTCTCAACAAGATTTAGAAAAAAACACCTAAATAATTTAGCACAGACCCTGTGAAAACAACATCTAGCTTAAAAAAATATGAAGATAAAAAGTCTAATCACAGTTTTCTATGTTCACAGTTTTTTACAGAAACAATCATCATATGGTTTTATTTGATGTATTCTAAGAGTTAGAACACTTTCAAAAATTATTTTCCAAAACGTGTTGGCACGTAGACCTGACTTCTTCAGCAAGTCAAACTGAAATCTTCAGCATTAACCTATTCAACACAGAATTCTGTACTTCTCATGCTTTCATGCTACATCATTTTGACACTTTGCTCAAATAAAACACTTACCTCTGCATATTTTGCCACTGAACTGGCTTCAACTGCATAGACTTTTCTAGCTCCAGCCTGCACTGCAAAGAATGAAAGGATTCCTGATCCACAGCCAACATCTAGGACCACCTAGAAAACAAAAGGCAGACCAAAAGAAACAAAATTATGAGAAGTCATTTCCTGACACCTATTTTGAGTAAGAAAATTTTTACAGCTGAACCCTGAGTTCAGTAAGTGTGTTATAGTTTAATTTGTAAAATTGAAGCATGACACCTGAAAAAGCTTCTTACTGAAGAGTGTTGATGTCCTTAATGTTTATTCTGTCAGGGAAAGCATATTTTTAAGAGACTTGACTATTCACAGATATACGTACGTGTGTGTGGCATGGAGGAAATAGGTTTTTATATCAAACTTCTTTAGGAGAAAAATGTAAACACTGACCTTACTCTGAATACCCTGGGGACGGAGGGAAGCCAAGACTGTAATAATTCTTTGGAAGAGTACAGAATCATGTTTTTTTTGAATTAAAAAAATCACTCCTTAGCATGGAAGCATCTTCAGTAAAACTGAACTGTATCTTTTTTCAAATATTGTTCCTGTTTGCTGACATCAATATTATACCTTCAATGAAGGTATAATATTGAATGAACTGTTGGATGCAGCATCTGTTGTAGTCCCTCAATCAACTATAAATCCCAAAGCCTCACTTTCTCTATTAGCCAGGATATTCACCTTCTGTAAGTCAAAACATTGGCTAGGGTGTTTCAAAAGGCCAAAATTTTTGTTTCAGTGTGTTGAAACTCTGCAATTCAAGTATGTACCTCTGCTGTCAGCTATTCTAGCAAAGCCAGCACCCAGTTCAACGCTCCAGATAAGCCTCTAGCGCTAGCTTCGTTCTGCTGCAGCCACCACTGTACACATCGCTGAACATATCACTGTAGAGACCATAAGTACATAGACAGAAAGAGGGTAACTGCTGGAAAAATGTTCAAGATGAGAAGTCAAATCAATTTAATGCAAAGGACATTCTTCACCCTGCACAAAAATCTGATCTAGTATTAGTACCTTGCTCCCTCAAATTTCAATATCTGCCGTCAGAGAAGTCTCATGGAACAAGCTCTCCATCTATATTGAATCGTCCTACGGTTTTGTGCATGACTGAAAACAGGAGCCAAAATTCTGCAGTTCCCTGCGGCTGAAATTCTCATGAGATTTCAATCCAAAATGTGAAATTCAGAAGCAAATATTAGACAATTTATGTCACCTGGAACTGCAGCATCATAAGATTTCAAAGCACTAGCATTTCAACTGTGAAACTGAACCACAGCCCTGATCCAATTCGAGTCAAATCCAGAGGATTCAGAGTGAATACCTCAGCTAAGAATACCACCAGCTTCTCTTACTCTGTCCCCTCCATATCCCAGCTTCCCATATGGTGCACACTGCTTACCAGTCTTTAAAAGCAGAGAGAAAAAAAATTGTGTATTCAAACAAAGAGTTTTGGCAGAAAAATAAGCTTTCAGAACTAAGAGCACATTCTATTCCCAAAAATTCACCCTACATGACACGTAGGTTATACACTGCAGAATGCAGTTCAAAACACATGGTTTGAATCTGCTGCAGATGCTATAGATCTGTGTTACAGAACTACTCCAATGCAAAATAAATTAACATTGCTTCTGTTATTGCACATAGTTTCAAGCTGGGTGTAGGAGCCAGAACCTTGCCTTTAATCATATTTTCTTTCCTAGTGAAAGATTTTATTAAACTCATTTTTTTTATATCACAGATGACAAGCTGTCACAGATCCAGTTTTCTTTTCCGTGCTTTGGCAGGTATTAGAATATGCTCCCCTGCCCAGGAGAACTAACTCTTCAGAACAGCAAGTGACAACAAACGTCGAGAAAGAAAGCAGGGTGGGAGACAACAAGTTCAGACCAATTTCATTGAGACATAGGACTAACAGAAGATCTGATAAGCTATTTCTCAATACCCAGTGGGAACCACAAAATTATTGTAATACTTTCCTTCTATCTTCCAAATATGCAGAGAGAAAAGTCAGCTGTTAAGTTCAGCGTTACAAATTTAATGGAGAAGTACGTTTTTTCACATCAGATCTGATTCCGACACCATTTCTTACACTTTACCTATGTCCACGTGAGCAGGTGGTACAACTGAATTGGAATATTTCTTTTCAGGATGAAAGGGGTTCTGGCTGAAGAGAGCCGCTAAGGGAAGAAGCTGTTCAAAGGCGGGAGTAGACTGCAAAACATCAGGGAGGCTGACCAAGAGATGGGCAGGATCTTCACAGGGACTTTTCAGAGGCAAAAGCCCAAGCCACACAGCGCAAGTAAGGAAAAACAGAGGGTATGCTCAAATAAGTGGAGGACAAAGACTCCTAAGACGGAATGAAAGCCAGATGAGTCTGAAGCAAGTGTTCATACTGTAAGGAGCAGGGGGTGTGATGGTCACTAGAGATTCTTTCCTGCAGGGGACAGGGGCCCTCATGTACTGATCTGGTATGCTATCTTTGGAGGCTTCTTGAACACCAAAGGCCCACATCTAGGATATTAGAGAGGAAATGCTTAGGCCCCTCTGGCCCTTGGACTACTTACTACCAATTGTCCTTGATTCACGTAGACACCAATGATACCCTCTCGAGTGTATCAAGGGTGACTGTAGAGTCTCGGGGGTTGAGGGTGAAACACACGGGACCAGGTGGTGTCTCCTCAATCCTGGCAGGGAGAGGGAAAGGCTTAGGAATAATCTATGCTCTCCCGGTTATCAGTCCAGGACTATAGCTTTTATGATGGCAGGACCCTCCTCAGGAATGACGATTGCTGGGGACAGATGGGATCCACCTGAAAAAGTGGGGCAAGAGCATCTTTGCCATCAGGTTTTCAACAGAGAAAGGGGCTGAAAGAGTAGGTCCATGCTGTGGGAGATTATGATAGGCTGAAGAGAGGTGAAGGTATGGAAGGCATGAGGAAGCGTCCATAAGATAACAGAACACGAGAGGGTCCCATGCTCCCTTTGTGAAAGCAGCATGACAGAGGAGCCATCTGAGATGCATCTACACAAACACACACAGCATGGGAAACAAATAGGAGGAATCAGAAGTCCATGAACAGAGGCACAGCTATGATTTCATTTGGATTATGGAGACATGGTGGTGTAGCTTGCACAGCTCATACAGTCACGGACGGCTACAGGTTGTTCAGAAAAAAAAGGCTGGCAAAGTCAGGGCAGGGGGGCTGTGCTCTATGCCAAGGAATGATTTGACTGCATGGAGCTTTGCTTTCAAATGGACGATGAACTAGTTAAGAGCTTATGGGTATGGATAAGAGGACACATGTTAGGGATACAGGTGATACGGTGGTACGCATCTACTGCGGATATCAAGAAATTGACTGACAGGAACCTTGCAAGGATCAAAAATGGCCAGTGTTGCATCTTTGCTGGAACGCCATACAATAGCCAGGCTGGGGCTGACTGGCTAAAAAGCAGCTTTCCAAAAAAAGACCTCAGGTTCCTACTGGACAACAAGTTGAATATGCATCTGCCCTTGCAGCCAAGGAGGCCAACCACAAGACTGTAGCCAGCAGAAGTCAGGAAAAGTGAATACATTTGCTTGTGAGATAATATCTGGAGAACTCTGTCCAGTTTCGGGCTCCTCAGGTCAAGAAAGATATTGACATTTTGGAGCAAGTCCAACAGAGGTCCACCAAGCTGGTTAGGGCGCTGAAGGGCAGGATGTATGAAGAGAGGTCTGAGAGAAATTTTTGTCTAGTTTAGGACAAGGCAAGCTAGGGGGAGAGCTTATTGCTGTCTTCATCTGCTAGTGGGAGGGTACAGGGCAAACAGAACAGTGATATGACCCAAAGTGAAGGAGATGCACAGTGTCCCGTAGGACAAGAGGCAACAGATGTGAGTTGTAACACTGGAAATTCCAATAGACACATAGGAAAGCTTTTTCACCATGAGGGTGGTCAAACAAGGTCTGCTCACAGAGGCTGTGGAATCTCCATCCTTGGATATGTTCAAAACGCAAGGTTTGGGCTAGAGATCTCCAGAGGTCCTTTTTAACCTAAACTATTCTGTGGTTCAATGACCTCTCAACAGCAGACCTTGCTCCCCAAATAGCATTACTGCAATCACTGACACCTCCTACAGAATGAGTTGCTTCCTCTCACCTCCCTCGTAAGAGCATTTTAACAGAACTGTAAGAGCATTCTCTAAGATAGCGCTCAGAAATATCAATACGTGGAACTGGCATGCTTATTTCTAAAGAGAAAAGTATAATTTTCAGATAAACTAATAGACAGATGGCTTGGTAATGATGGTATTACTCATACTAATAGCAAAGGTGGTAAGCTTTATGTACTTCAGCATTTACTTTGAAATGTGAATGCAGCTACTTGAGTAATTATCAAAAATCAAGAGAGTCAGGAAGAACCAATGCCATATCCCTCACATAAAAAAAAAAAAAAAAGCTCCTGCTTTTACCTACACAGATGATTAACTCCGCAAATGTGAGTTTAATGGGAGCTACTCACATGTGGAAATATGCTTGCATGCCTGAATGCTTGCAAACTTGGAGTCCTGAAAAGGACTTTTGAGTAAGAGAGGTGGGGGGAACAGATCAAAACTGCAATAGAGCAAAACCATAAAACTACAAGCAGAAAGATTGAAATACCAGAAATTAATAATTACATTTATCATCCAGAATTACTATATATTAGCAAAAATATACAGAGAGAACATTATTCTGTTTTTTTTTAAAGTATGCCTTTGACTGCTCAGTACGAACAATTAATTTCCTTGACCCTTCGTCCAGAATCACCAGAACAATTCTGATGCTAGTTGCTTTGCTTTTAAGTGAACTATTTATAAAAGAATTACAGAGGAGAAAAAAAGAAAGGGCTCAGGAACCTTGGACTTATTTTCAAAGAACTAGAAATGTATCACTGCCTGTACTTTGTTTGAAATTGCATTATATACTGCTACAGTAAAATTTATTTTGGGGCCCTTTCTTCAGTATAACTAATTAAAACACTTTGAACTTGTCCTATTGGCTCTATAAGAGTTCAAAACCAAAGATAGAGTTTTACTAAGAAAAATGAGGGAAAGCTATAAGGAAACTTCTAAGTAATTAATATAGAGGAGAATATGACAATAAGGATTAGCATACTAATGTGAAGAATTCAACCTCAGACACATTACACTCTAAACAGGTTCTCCTTATCCTTTCACACTTCCATAGACATAAATGGTCAACCCAAGCAGTTGGTCCTGAAGTACCTTACCTTTAACAGACAGACTGTGTTTGAACGCATCACCAAGAACCCTTTCAAGGGCCCTAGAAATAATTTTGTTCAGCTTAACTCAGATCACCTGCTGCACTTTCTCATAAAGATTTTTTTTCAAAAACAAAGCCTAGAATAAGAAAAAAATATACTTTATACAAAAAAGTCTTTTACTATAGGAAATTAAACTTCCTTCTAACAAATTATCCAGGAATTTATGGAAAGACGCTGCAAAGGTAATGAAGTATGCCAGAAACACAGAGTAGGTAGGAAATGATTAGTCACATATCAGTTGAACAAAACCCCTTCCCATGAATGGAAGTAAAAAAATATTTATGTCCCTTTTGTCTTTTTTGTCTCTTCATTGCCATCATTAGACATTTCTGTCTACCTTACATTTTCCGAATGCAAGATAAATGTAGTTGCAGTTTTTCTAAGCCAGCTGAAGTCTCAGCAGAATGGGATTCTGAGGTTCTTCTGGTAAAATGCTTTGCCACAAGGTATTCAGCTCAATATTTTCAGCTACATTTGTTCTGAAAATTGTCATTTTGAAAAGGAATCAGGGAACAGAAAGATAGTTTTCTAGGTGGGTGGCCAGCAACACCCAGACTGTAATAGTCTTACTATTAGGTATACTGAGGAGAAACCAAGACAGCTCCAACAGTTAGGAAAATAAATAAACCAAGAGCAAAAGCAAGCAGCTGTGCTGCTGCACCGCAGCAAGATTGCCTAAAGAGGGAAAGAATATGCAAACCCTGAACTCCTTACCACAGGGATAAAAATGAAACAGATATATGTTACCTACAGACACAAATACACATTTTGGATTATAAGATGTGAGCATCCCAATTGGCAAGATGCTAATAGCAAATAAATTCTTCAAATTTCTTCTTTGTTGTTTCTTTCATAACAAATTTACAGTTACATATTCTAGTTCAATGTTTAACCAATTAATGATACAATCGCTCCACTCACCTAGTTGGCATCATCCAATACCACATGACTTCGGATCGGATTCTGATCCCCAATGCAAACCGGAGCAGCCCTGTACACACCACTAGTTTACTAACCTTACTGAATTAAATAGGAGAGGAGGATGGTCTCAGGCCTGAAAGAAATTACTGAGACTGAAGTCCCTTTGTTTTAGTGCTACAAAGACAAGTATTTAGGTATAGCCTGTGAAGAAGCACAATTTGCCTAAGTCACATGGCAGAGAGACATAATCAGTTACATTTGAATTTGTTACTTAATATAATTAATAGTTAAAATATAAGAGTCTTAAAACAATACAGATAAATTTTATACCTACAACTCTCCTCATTTTGGCTGTGAACATGTTATGCCTTAAAGTGGAATGTTTTGTTCAGTATTTGCTCATATGATATTAAAGTCCTTTTCTGGTGTGATGTAGTACCAAAGCCATTTGTGCAGGTGTGAGTGGAAGTCAGAAGCTCCTTTTAAAAGGGAAAGTGCACACAGAAAGATGGGAGAAGGGAAGAGGAAAAGCAGAGAGGACAAGAAATGACAAAAACATAAAAAAAAGAAGAAGAAGTAGTAGTTAAAAAAAAAAAAAAAGAAAGCCACTTCATCTCTCCAGATTTTTTGGGTGCTGTTAGCTGCCTGGTCATCACAAGCACAGGCCTCATTGTCTCAGTTGCCATTTTGAGTCCTCACAAACATTCCTACTAGGCTGCTAGGCTACTGCTTATATAGCATGTGCTTACAGAAGGTCCCAGGTCCCTAATATTTTTTTTTTTTTTAAGTATTTTCATTAACAATTTTTATTTTTAAAAGGAGGCAGTGTTTTAGAAGGAGTGTCATAGTAAGACCTGCTGATGACACAAAGTTAGGTTACTCGAGAGCAGAAAGACCTAACAAAGCTAGGTGACTGGACAATACTAAGATAAATTCAATTCTATACTGATTAATATATTTTTAGGAAATCTGAACTATTCACATACCCAATTCTAAATGTTCTCAACAGACAGATGCAGTTAGAGAAAAATAGTCAAGATTTCTAAGAAATAGAGAAAAGAATAAATAAGAAGTCAGAATTCTAGAATACAAATCAATTGCATTGCTTTGCCTACACTACCATGTGTAACTCCTGTTAACCCTTCTCAAAACAGGTGCAGCAGAACTAATGGTGGCTCTGAAAAAAAAAGTAAGAATGGTAAGAGGGCATGGGCAATTTCTTTTTACAGAAAAAGACTGGGAGGCTTGAGAATGCTGATCCCAGAAGAAGAGCTAAGAAGGGAGGACAAGTAAGAAGTGAAAAAATTCACTTAATAGAGGACTAATATAAAGAAAGTCAGTTAGGAACTTGAATCCTCCGTCACCTCATAACATAAAAGCAAAATGACAGAATGTTGACAAATTCAGAATCTTCTTAAAGAAGATCCATTTCTACATAATATACCTACATTATAGAATTTATTGTTATAAATATCATTGGGGTGGGAAGAGACAAGAGTACACAGAGTGACAGGACTGAATATGGTCAGAAAGTCTAGAATTACTGTAACTAATTTCAATTGAAAACAAACACAAAAACCCAGAAAGCAACAACTTTCCAAAAGATACTAAGCCCTATGCTTTGGATTTCAAGAAGCCTAAAAAACTACAATTAGAAAATGACTTGGAGAGAGATTATCCTACATCTTCTCAGTCTAAGTTTTCTTCTGTCTTTCTCTGAAGTGTCTTGGCTGAAGAATGTAAGAGGCAAAGTACTAAATCAAGCAACAAAAACAGTCATTACAGTAATTACAGTAGTTTATAAGATCTATATACATATGTTGGAGACGAGTCTGTGGATCTGAAGTCATAAGCAGAAGTTCCTCCACTCTTTCTAACTCGTTGCCAAGTATAAATGAAGTCACAGCAGCCAACTATGTGCTTGCTTAGTCTATAACAACTACAAGGTGGCAACACACTCAGTGTAGACATCATTGCAAGAGACGTAAATCAGAATACTTTTCAAGGTTTTGCAGAAGGCAATGAGACACAACAGCAATTACACAGTTGATAAAGTTAAGATAAAGAAACTCCCTTCGTGTATAAGCCCCAAGACGCCAAACATGAATGTTAACGGTCATAACGTCAAAAAATATGCCCCTCTGGGCTCCCTGACTGTACACAGAGGACAAAATAGGAATTTGTAACTCATGCTTGGATCTGTGTTCTGGACCATTCATCCTAGGATGTATAGCATACCATCACCATCATGCATTGTTATTCAGGTGTCGGACAATGACATTACAAATATAAAGCACATACAAGTCAGTATACTCATGCACAAAATCCTAGGTGAGAAAAGGCTGCAGTCAGATCAGTGTTGTTCAATGTGAAGTTTAAGGTCTAATCAGAATACTGGAATATTTAAAACTGTTAATAGAGCTTACCTTGTCTTTAAAATCTATATGGTTCTGTAGGATAGCGCTGTGATATGTGGCTGTCCTCACAAAATCCTGCATCATATTCTGTTGTTGAGATAGACACCCATAAAACTAAAAGGAAAGAAGGGGAAAAATAGAAAAAAAATATAAAGCCCAATCAATCTTTCCTGTACTTAAATTACCAAGGATCTGACCGCTCACTGAACAAAAATGAGCTATCTTTCTAACTGGCCTGGTGACAAAGGACATTTACAGAAAATTTACAGGAAGGAAAATTACAGGAAAACTGTAATTTGGATTCCACAAACTGGCACTGAACAGTTTCATCACCTGAAAATACTGAGCAGCAGATGCTTCATCTGTTCGCTGACTGAACACAGAGTCTTCCTTCTTTTGGTTACAGCATCTCTTCAATGCATTTGAAAATGTGCTGTATTCTGGAAAAGAAAAACAGAAAAGACACAAATGTAGCAAAGCAACAGTTGCATAGTAGAATAAAATAAATGTTATCCAGTGACAGGGTAGGAACACATTCAGTGAGATTTCAGAGAAATGTTTCATTTAGGTTACAGTGTTCAGAAATACACAGTAAACACTGTCAAAGGTCGTTAAACGAAGAGTTGATGCAAAGACCTGATGAGCATCTGAAGTTGTTTTCATAGAGAACCTGGATACCTGTAACACTTTTGCAAAGGATTCTCCATCACAGTCAGCTAAAAAAAGTAGATATCTGTGATGGTGAACTGTAACAGAGGAATCGCTGAACGTAAGCCTCAACATACTACTTTGGGTTAATCTCTGCTAACTCATGCTCAACAAAGAGAACTATCTAGAAGTATTACGGGATGCACAGATTTGAGCTGGGAGGTTTACATCTGAGAATTAACCCAAGTTAATTGGCCTAAAAAGTCAGGCTAAGGTCCAAGTATCTTTCTTTAGAAGGAGTCTAGCTAAAAAAGTTCAGAGTAACAATATTTTGGCTTCTGTAGGCATAACCATTTTTGATATTAGACAAGTAACAGGAAAATTGAGGTGGGCCTAAAAAGCAGCGAGTCAGTGGAGACTGCATCTAGAACAAGAACTAGCATTAAAAAAGCGTCTATGGGGGAGAAAAGTATGAATGGCAACAATAAAATAAAGGAGGAAAGTCTTGTAACTTCTGCTTATATGAAGACAAGAGAAGACAAAGAAGTCAAATTACACCATGCTAATAACCAGAGAAAGAGCTGCTACGCAGCTGAGTTTCAAATAAAAATAGCCAGTGCCTGAAGCTCATAAGTATTTGCACTAAGAAATACCCGTTAAGTGTTCTAACCATTTGGAAATAATTCAGACCCCTTGTGAAACAACTTATCAATACAGTAATCAAGGAAAAGAATTTCCTTCATCATTTCAGGAAATTTTGGTATCCTGAAAACTGAGATTTGGTTGTACTGATCCTTTTCCACTGCAGAAAGCTGATTTTGCAAAGGGAAGAGAGGTAAAAGATGGCAATTAGCTTTCCTTCTAGCTCTGGAAATCAGGTCAAGTTCAATTTCAAGCTGCCTGAGAATAAAAACAAAGATCCATGTTTACACAAATGGAAAGTCATGAATACAGCAATCTTGAGTTCAATGCTTTACTCTTTACTTGGTCAAAAAAGTTTGAGTAGGGAGTTGAGAGAGATCCACGGTAGAAAACTTTAAATCCTTCGTAAAAGCGTATAATAAATAAGATTCTAAATCTAAAAGAATTAGAATCCAGTAAAAGCTTCACAAACTGCTGCTGTGCTAGAAATCATTACAATCTGAAAACTGGATGGAAAAAGCTCTACCTTTCAGGCAGTGGTGCATTGTTTCACTGTAAGAATTAGCACTGAAAAAGTGACAAACAGCCATAGTTCCTCAGAAAAGTCCGTCAATTGAGGACACAGTCCCTTGAATGTCCAGGCAACTACAAGCTGGACTTAAACATAAAGTCCACTTTTAAGCCTCCTGAAATAAAGAACGTCTCTCAGTTGAGATTATGAACAGTATGAACAGTCTAATGGATGCAACAACATCAGTGTGCTGATAGCCTGGAACAATAGCTCCGAGAAGCACTAGCTTACCGTGAATGAACAAGCCACTTTAACCTTGCACCAGCAGAAGACTGTACGTGTGGCAAAAGTTGTAAAACACAGCTCACCCATTTATTCAAATAAACTTCAGCTGCTGATGAAATCTGCTACAGAACTGATCTGCTGCCACTGTGCAGAAGATTCTCCTGCCATTACTCGGTGGGAGAAAGTCCCACTCTGTTACTTCTGGCCTGTCAGCTCCAGTGGGAAGATGCCATACTAAGCACTGCAATTTCAGAACTTGACATTGCTTCTGAATTGCTACTGCTTCTGAATTTCAGAAGTAATAGTAAAATGTCATGAAAATGAGCAAATGCCATCAGCATGCCCTTTTCACTCCCGCACAATAAGGATGATGTGCAGAATGTCACAGTGAGTGACTGGCTCATGACAAGGGCTGAAGAGAGGCCCGAAGTGCAGATAGTGCCAGTTTTCTGATGGTAAAGGCAGAAAACTGTCTAAGACGGACAACTCCCTCTGTTCCCTCATTGCACAGAGACACAACAGAGAGCACCGCACTAGAACACTGGAAACTGCAGATCTTTTCCAGACAGTCACCCATTATCTTAAATCTCTCCCATATCTTTCCTGTCTGAAGGTGAGAGATGATGTCACAGGGTCAGTGACATGCTTATCTCTGTTCTTTCCCATGGTTGCTCTTCACATACAGTATTATTCTCACACTTCTGCAGAGACTTTTTCATAGTTTTCACTAACACTCAGAAGAATATCTTTGGTGTCCAGGAATGCGAATGGATTTCAAAACAAACACACTGGAAGACGCTACCTAGTGACGCTGTGCAGCCTCCATCCTTGGAGGTTTTCAAGACCTTTCAAGGCACAGCTCTGAGCAACCTGGGGCTGATCCTGCTGTTAGTAAGGGACTAGACGAGAGGACCGTCACAAACCCCTTTCAACTTAATTATTCTAGGATTTTATGACAAAAGTATGATTTACTTGTGAAGTGATACTTCTCTATACAGAAATAAGATGTTTGCAGACAGAGATCTCCACAATGCTGGTAAATTACACTAATACTCATTGAGCTAGAGGGTAAACCAAAATAGAAGAAATAATGGGAGGCCCATAAAGTTTCTTCACAATCTTTCAAAAATGGACCTCAGATGCCTTTAAAGTTTTCCTAACAGAGTGAATGCAAGATAACAATTTTTGAATGCATGCCTTTAAAAAGTCAAAGGATTCTAAAGGGAAATCTCTTAGGCTACACAAATTACCTAGGAATTATTCATAACACTTGCTGGTCGCTTCAAATATTGTCTGAGAGCTCAGCTATATATTCATTTGTGACTGTTACGGTAAACAGCGAAATAACAAATTGTTAGTTTTTAATGAAGAAAAACTGAATAAGCTATTAAGAACACTGCATACAACATGGACATAAATAATAAACTGAAAAATGATGCATTGTGAAATTCTCCCATATAAGGCCATTCTACTGCAGAAGAGAGACACAGTTCTGGTTTCTTTAGCACGGACAAGGAACACAATACTTCTTTCTTTCTTTCGTAGATTGTCTGAGGAGGAAGTAAAGCATTCCTCTCCCTATCTTCTACAACCAGAAAGTATTTACAATAATCTGCCTTCTCTCCACTTGCTTATGCAAACACACTCACTGAACTTGTATCTTCTTATATTCTCTATAAAGGAACTTCTTTTGTTAACTCATACTTTCTGCCTGTGATTTGAAACATGGCTTCAGTTGCATATTGACCAAGGTGCTTAAAAATAAATTTAATTTGGATGTTCCTAAGAAGCTGGGAATTTAATCTGTCATACATTAATCTGTCTTTGTTTTGCAGTCAAGAGTCAAGCATACAGAACTAAAAAAACCAGTAAAGCATTTTCCAAGAACAGTCAAAGAAGATTTCTCATTAATCCTCAGCCCTACATCCTTCATCAGGGTCCTAGCATTCTCTGCATCCGTTCCTATGAGGCTGTAAGGAATTGATTTTCTCATCTCAAGGAACTATCAGGTAGCCTCTTCAGATCTTCTATCACCTTCTGCAAAGTAAATCTCAGTACAATGGGTTTCTACTGAAGGGTGTTGCATACTAATCTGAACGTAGTATTTATAATGTCACAACTTTAAGAGTCTGCTAATCTAGTCCTATTAGAGATTCCTTCTACTACGTTTCTGATGCCACGCAAAGCCTTCTTTCCACTCTCAAAACTGTTTCTTTTGCTTTAAACTCTGGGAAAACAGGAGATTGGGAAGATGACACTGAATTCTCTTGCACGGTCTTGGTCATCTTCAAGGAAATATCATACAATTTTCATTAACTGAAAAACAAATCCCTGTTCTCCCCTCTCTCCATTCACTTGGATCAATCTAAACTTTTCCACCAACAGGTAGAAAAGCTCTCAAAACTTTCTAAGTGCTATAGCCACATTCCAATAGCAGTAAATTAATGAGTCAAGGCTTTCAAATGCAATGCTTGCAGTGCCTTTACTCCTTCCCACGCATTGTAAGATTTCCAACTACTGCTTCAACAAGAATGACAATGCTCTTGAGAAGAAAGGTATGCAGACATATTTATTGTCTTTTCAGTATCTCTCAAAAAAAAAAAAGCAGCAAAGGAAAACACAAATGTTTCTCTTTCAAGGAGTCTTATCTGGATGTTGTTCAGAAAGTAATGGAAAAGAATACTTGGAAGGAGGAACATTACAGGCATTCAGCCTAATCTAGTTTATATTACCCCATCTGGGCACCAGTTTACTTCCAGCAGAGTGGAATAGTTTGTAAAACCTGCCTAAGCGCTGAGTGCATATTTGAGCTGTTTAGCCTGTGCTGAACCATGTGCTGTAGAGGCTGGACTCCTAAAATCTTCCTGCTAGCTTCTATAAAGCTTGTTTGGGTGCACCTACGTGAGCTCCAGTCACCGGAGAATCGGTGTATTTTATCTGCTGAAATAAACTGTTCTTAAACAACTGCAGTTTAACTGGATTACAAGTCCACCATATAACCCCTTTAAAGAACTCAAGCTTGTGTTCTATGGTCCATAAAACAGAAAAAAAAATTAAACACAGTAAGTCAAAGTACCCGAATTTTAAAAAGTCATGAAAAAAAACAATCTTGAAAATTGATTTAGCTCATTAAATACTCCTAGTAACCACCTACGTGCAAGCTCTTATCCCACAATAACTACATCTCCTTCCAACGAGAGGGGAGCTTCCTCCCATTTTTTATAAATCATATGATAAAACATTCACAAAGGCAGTTACCAAGGAACAGTAAGAAATTCCCAGTTCATATTCTAGCTTACCCTATAATAAATGTTCCTCCTCTGGAGCAAAACACATCTTACAGAATCCATTATT